TGGCCTCTGTGCCATAACCTCTTGGTCAAAACTGCCTTCAGCACCAAGGGCTCTGCATCATAGCACAGACATCTGAATTAGCCAGAGGCTAATATTCTCCTCCTCCCACTCGTGACATGAGCATTCTCAGCTGTGGAGGGTTAGAACTACAACAGAGCCAGATGAACAGCTGACTTACTGTGTTATGCCAATAGTGTACCACATCCACACAGAGAAAATCCCCTTTGCAGAAAATGATAAATAGAAATGCTGAAGCCTCAAGCTCTTCCTTAATTAAGCTTTTCAACATTAAGCAAAATTTCAGTCATTTTTTAAAATTGTCTTTCCTTGTATTTGTGTGACCATTATTCACAGTGATTTCTAAGTGGCAATGTACCTCCAGGAGAGGAACACTCCATGATATACTGGTTCTCTGGAACACTTCTTTTTTATCCTCGTTTAACTCTTTTGCCTGTTTTAGTACAGACAGCAGTCTTTAACAGATGACAAACCATTAAGAAACATAATTTCAGATTTTAAATATTTGAAAGTCTGTAGAAGTCCCTGGGAAAAAAAAAAAACAAAACCTCTGCTTCAGTTTAAATTGCGTACACAAAGACAAAAAGCAAAGATTCCTTTGGGAATTAGAAATCTCCACAATACAAATGCAACTAATACAATCCCAAAATAAGAGGCTGTCTTAACATATATCAATAAATAAAACACAATCTGTACCACAAACTTGGTTAAGACGACTGGAGGACCAAGACTCAGAGGAGACTAACATGAGCTACAAGAAAAGACTTCATTTTTTGTGTTTCTTTTGGATTGGTTTTGAGCAGGCCTTCCACTCAGCACTTCCTGACATAAACCTTGATCCAGAAGCCTTCCAAGCACAAACCTCATCCAGAATTCAGCAGAAATTTGGTGGATGCAGAATTCATGGGATTACGTCTTGTACGCCATGTACAGTGGCAAGTGCTCATACAAGCACATGAACAGCACGTCCTTTCTAACAGAAATTTAGAGATTTGTAGGCAGAGTTGCAGGGCTATGTTGTAAAGGTACACTCTAAGTCACTGGATAATCTAAAAAGAAAACACTCTTTCCCCTAAATTGAAGCTTTGGCCTGGGGTTCTAACCTTCATTCCAGTTTGTGACATGTAAAAACTACAGATAAACAGACCTCCTCTTCCTCCTCTCATCATCATAACACCCTGGATCACAACATTTTTAGATATTTTTCAGGCTGCAAATTCAATGCCCACTGGCAATTCTGTTCTTTCCTCTAGAAGCACATTTTTAATGTTATCCCATCTGAAATTCAAGTCTGGTAAATATAATAAATTTGATTATAACTTAGATTCCCTAGTTATTAAATTAGCTTATTTTCAGAAACCATGCTGAATCTAAAGGAGAAAAAGCAGCAAATTATACCTGACAGCTTTAATGCATTAATAACTATATGAATAAAAGATGTGATTCATCATAGATAATAAGTCTTGCAAAAACTTTGGGTGAGCTGAGAAAATAATGCTAATAGCTTTGCAAAACTACTTATAATTTAAAATAATTTGAGCGGTGAGGAAAATGTGGCAGATTCTAAGGACTACAAAGTGGTCAAAATTGCATTAAATTTGCTCTTGCAGAATTTCTCTTTTTGTGTAAAACCACAGAAGTAATTTTTACTTTCATAACTGCTGATGTAAGATCAGGTATGGAGAAACGAGACAAGACATCTTTTGTGAGTAAACATTTTAGCATTCTCTGATTTGCTAGAGGACAGCATAAACCCTCACTTTGTATCCACAAGCCTAACACACAGTATTATTTATTACCTCTATGACAATAGAGTTGTGTTTTGTATAGTACAGTACTGTAACTCCAGATGCACAGGAAAAGACAGGACAGATTATTTTAATGTCTAAACCCATTTCTGTAGAACATTCACTATTTGTTCTGGCTAAGCTGTTTCTAAGGATAGGGGATGAAGATGATGAATAAGGCAGATTAAGTTTTAGGCCATCAAATGTAAGTAGAAGTACAAAAGATAAGTTCTGGACAGAAGCCTGGAATAGTTTTGCTAGTTTCTTCAAGCATCCTAAAATCTTAGAGATTGTCTCAGTCTTAGGGAATGTAAGGGATTTTAAACTGGTATCACTACATACAAAAGAATTAGAATTAGGTGCCCTAAATAAGGCATAAAGTTAATGGTAGTGGTTCCCACCATGCTTTAGACATTTTTTCTTACATCTTCATGTTACTTGCTTTTATTGGACCATAGTCTGTCCTATTTCTTCAGAATGTAGGTTACAACAACTTAGAATCAGTAGAGTTATAGCTAGGAAAATTTAAAAACTACATGTAAGGTGGATGTAAAAAAGTGATGAGTACTAACATCAGAAGACATCCTTGGATTTAAAATCAAATGTGGACAACAAAAGTTTGGTAATGCAGAAATTTTTATTTTATTTTTTGAAATTTGCAAAATTTGGACCAAAACCTGTCCAAATAAAGTGATGTTTGCGGAAAATATGTTACAAATAGCACCTGCATCTGGGTTATTTCCAGCTCTGTCACTGCCTTGTTATAAGATTTTAGATAAGTCATTCCAGCCTAATGTGTTCCATGGTACAAAAAAAAATAAGGTAATCAACCTCTAGTGACCCTCCACAGATGCTGTAATACCTAGGTCTTGATAAGGTACCCTGACCTTTCAGAGCAGCAGAGTCCCCTGTTGCTCTCCCTGCAGGGATTCTGGTACCTTCCCAACTTCCAGTGGCAGCTGGGTTTCTGGCAATCAGCAAGTAAACCTAGCTGCTGAATTTACCAGTATTACATATAATAAAACAGAGATTATATGAAAAGAGATTGAGGAGGAGAGTACACCAAAAGGAGAAAAAGAAAAAAGAGATTCCATGGGTGTTAAGTAATTTAGATCCTACTTTATCTGCAACAAAAACGGCTGCCTACTATTTATTCAATGTAATAATGCAGTACTTATTCCTTGAACTTGCTTTTCACTTCATCCATCCAGGTCTGACAAGAGCAGTGAGCTCTTTGGGTTCTGAGATGTCACCAGCACTGACAGACCACTGTTACGGGTAGATTTGGGGTAAGGTCACACCACAGATAGTTCCTGGTTTCCAGCAGGTTACCCACAGACTCTTCTGGTCCTCAATGCTTCACTGGTGTCAGCCTCCTGGAGCTTCTCAGGGCTTATGGAGTGGGAGGCTCCTGACTGACCTAAGGTCCTCTGAGTGAAAATGGTGCTGCTGTGAAGAACAATAAATAGCTTGCTGTCATCAGTCACCGCCTCCCTTCTCACAGAACTCCACCCACCTAAACTCAGGGGCAATCTAGCATGGTAGGCTGAGCACTGCTAAATGCCTTCAACTACCACAGGCAAGTAGGCAGGCATCCTCTGGAACACTGGATAATGTACCTTTGTGAGCTCTCTCCAAACTTTTTCTGCAGCAAATGATAGCAGTAATGTTTGAACTGACAGAGGATACATATATTTTTCATGCAAGTCAAGACACAAAAAAGACATAAACTCCAGTGCTCCCAAATACAGATGTTCATAAGCCTACAAGTTAGTACACAGGGAGCGAATGAGGTATCACAACATTTCCCATGCAACATTCTTCCCTCAGTTACACCTTGAAGTAACACATCCCTGCTTTCATCTGCCATCAGGATGGCACCCCATAATCAAACTCTGTCTGACTATCTCATTTGTTGCCAACTCTGACAGCATATGTGCCTAGCAAGTTTGATATCCAGATCTGCAAGAGTTTCTTTCCAAAAATCTCTGCAGCAACTAGACACAGTAAAGAAAAGCAGTTTATAGTGTAGACATTTACAGCTACACAAAAATTATCCCTGTTCCCCTTACAGTCAGAGAGACTGATATGAGTATTTTTTTGCTTGAGATTCAACTGAGCCACTTCAACAATTATCTCGGGATGAGACATCTCATGCCAAAGAAGAATACCCCATTAACAAGAGCATAAGGTGATAAATTCAGATACAGACACCTATATGTAGACATTTCTTTCTAGTAGGATGAAACTTTTCCATGTCTTACACACCTCTGGCCTTTTACACAAACCTCCTTGTGCCTGCTTTAGTCCCACCAGTCTCTTCTGTTCCTCAGAAATTAGGTTATGGATGATTTGCTGTGGATCCTCTGGACTACTTCAACTAAATCTCTCCGTTATAGACCAGCCACAGAGAGTCTACACCTAAGCAGCAGGAACATGAGATCCATAAGCAATATAAATGCCATGTGAGCAGGAGATTCCCTAAGCCTTGTGAACATGAGACAGTCTGTGTATCTCAACTTTTTGCTCTTAGTATAGCTTATGCCTTCTTGGACACATGCAATTCACATATTCCAGAATACCAACTCCTTCAAGTCCTCTCAAGACCTTTCCCTTCTCTAGAAAAAGGTTATGTAATGGCTTGGAAATCCTCTCTGGATGTACTCAGCAAAACAGCTCCTGCCTGACTACTGCCAAATGGGGACTGTCAACTTTATCCAAAGCTTTGACAGGGATTTTTGTTAGTGCCATTATTACTGTGCCTTTGTCAGTGGATCCAACAGCAGCTTTGATGCAGCTACAGACTGAGGATCCCTCACCTGCAACTGTATCAAGACTGCCCACAATATTCACACAAATAGTAAAGCTGTTTGTCAGCTCTGCAAGTGCCAAATGCAGACACCTATGGAAAAAGATTCTGCTGACTACAATGAACTTCATATAAGGACTTGCAACTTTTTTATGAAAGGATCACAGAATCTTCTATAGTGAAGCTGTGTGTCTATCATACACTCATTCTATTAGGTTAGATAATACTAACCAACTAAACACATACATGGAAAATAATCATACCTTTCCCCTGCTTATACAAAAATGGGCGCTTATACAAAAATAGGTGCAATCACAGCTCATAAATAGTACTGTGACCAAAAGAAGAAAACACCATTTGAAATAATGGAACACATTACAGAAAACAGTAATTTAGAGTTTTATTATTCCTTTCTTTTTAACAGAAATAATTATATATACTTCACCATTTTCAGTAGCATTAAGGATGTGATAATTAAAGTAACTTTCATTAATAAATCACAGTAGCAGTGCAAGATGTTATTAATAGTTGCTTTAGACTGTGGTCTGCGAAAAGAAACAAGAAATAAATATATATGCTGCTTCTACTTCAACATTTCCAGAAAACACATATTTTAAAAATATTTTACAGGTTACAATACTGATAATTCTATAATTGTTTCTTTGGTAATACTGTGAAGTAATGCCTTGCCATCTTTATAGTATTTTTTGAACTACATAATAATAGTTATTTTAAATTATATCAGTCTCAGTAACATTGCATTTAAAAACATAAAGTCAGAGCCCCTAATAAATCCTTCTGGTTTTTCAGGTAACACAGATAAAATTAACTTTGCTAATCTTGACATGTTTTATTGTACCCTTATATATAGTTTCTATCCCTCTCTCTTTTTAAGTACAGAATCTATACAGCAGAAAGACTTAAGCAATCTTAACTATAGTTATTGCTGCCAACTCTTCCTGTAAAACTCAGGGTGAAATACTGGTATAATTAAAATTGATTGCAATGCTCACATTGATTTCAGAGAATGAAAGAAAAGAGAATAAAGACTCCCTGAAATAGAGCAAAGTCCCAGCAACACAATTCTATATTTACATAGGAAGCACTGGTAATAAGATTTCAGGAAATCCTATGATTAATATATTATAGGCAAAATACATATATAAATGTGCATATATTTTTGTATGTATATAAAAATACAGATTAAAGGTCAAAATGACAGGATTTCAGTTAGATATAGGTCTCTCTTTTTAATCAGTGCTAGCAGCATTGCAGAAGAATGTTTGCAAGGGAAGAAAAATGAAGGATAACTTATTCAGCTGAAAACATGAGGAAAATATAACCACTAAAACACGTAATGTAATTCCATTACTTAAAATATTTTCATGGGACCTCTATTATTATTGCAAAAGTGCCATGGGATCTTATCATTAGAAGATAAAACAGCAGTTGAACTACAGTTCTCATCTAATTGCAAGAAAGTCTCCAATCTTCAAAGATTTATATATACAATTAATTTTGTGCAGTCAAAGTAGTCTTGCTTCAGACCACAGAAGTTTTCAAAATACTTAAAATTAGGTAAAATATATGGAACTTGTCAAAGAACTGAGACCTATAGCCTTACTTGGAAAGTAATAGCAAATAAACTTTTCAAATTCAAAAAATGGATATTCCTTCACAAAAAAGTTACAGTTTTGATCTGCCTTTTGTATTCACATTAGCTTTTAAACAGTCTGTGTACCATTTCTTTAATAAATCAAATATTTATCACAAAAAGGTCACTGCCAACTTAGAAACTGCATTTTAAAATCTTTCCAATTTCATTACTGTTATTTTCTATTCTCAAATTAATTTTTTTTAAGTAAGAATTTTGTTTTCAACTTTTTTTCTCTGATTTTCAACTTCACTTTAAAAAAGTAATTCTGAAGCTTGAGGGAACTTGTTACATACACCAGCAATGTTTTTCAGCTAACTACATACAAAGAGTGTGGGAAGACAGTGTGTTAGAGAGGTCAGTATAAATGAATGCTATGAGAGGTATTTGGGGACACATATCTTAGATAAATTTTAATTCTTTTCCTTTTAAATGGACTCTATCATGATAAGCTTTCAAGTAACTTTAGCAAGTTGAAAATATTTGAAGATAAGCTATATTTATAGTGTAACTCCTAACTGCAAAGATTGCTGTGAACTCTTATTTATGAGCTGAATAGTGTTATTTAGCCACAAAATGCTCACATTTATTTTCAGATCTACTAGTGGATGTATGTTGACTGTCTAGTAATTAGTTCCATTTCCATCATCTCCAAAGCATACAAAACAACTGGACTTTTGTAAACTAACAGCTTAAAATATTTTCATTGGAGGAAGGCAATTCAGATTCCTTGAAAGTAATCTCTCCTCTGTTCTTTGGTTTTGCTTTCTTTTTTTCTTGTGGAGGAAGGATGGATAGAAATTATGAAAATAGGTTGAACAGGGCTCTGAGCAACCTGACCTAGCTGAAGATGTTTCTGCTCATTGGAGGAAGGTGGACTAGATGACCTTGAAAGGTTCCAACTATTCTATGAATAACAGTCATACAAAGCAGCTTTGGAAATCCCTGAAGTCAAGTTCCAGCCTTCACCACAAAGACATTGGTACAGGACTTTTGAGCCTCTGGACAGAGACCAAGGTATCACCTGGCCAACGTTAATGACTGTCCAGTTCTGCCAATCACCCTGTACTTTTCTAAGTGTGCTAAGAACACTTCGTTATCACTTTTCGGAAGACTTGTCTTCCTTGTGCTTACATCCTTACCTGCTTCAGAGTGTTTGCCTTATACTCATAGGCAAATAAACTGTTCTCATGTTTGCTAAAGTAAAACAGAAATGATATTCTTAAGAGAGCATGTAAGTTTGAATAGGCTAAAGGTCTGGCTTTGTGAGACCTTCCATTTCAATCTTCTGTCTGACATTGGGCAAAATATAATCTTACAATCCAGTTCTTGACTTATAAAGCCAAGCAGTGATATTTGTTGTCTTTTGATTAGCTTGTCTGTTCAGCTCTGCCAGGAAAGTATCAAAATACAGTTAGCACACTGTACAGCCTACTGAAATCTCACATTTGGATGGAGCTTACTGTCATATCTACTTATGTTAAATAAGTCAGACCAACCCCCACGCTATTTCTCGTGAAATGGGGACATGTATACAAAAGATGCTTGCCAGCTTTCCCCCTCAACTTAGAAACAGCTGATCACTGCCTTCCCCAATCCAGTTTATGCAGCATTTTAAGTCTGGGAAGACAGACAAGCATGATGGGTGGCCTTCAGACTAACCGACTGAATCCAGCTCTCAACTCTTACTCTGTAAGAAAGGGTTTAGACAGAATGTAACAGGAGTTAATTTAAGCTGTTCCAAGAGTAAATGAATGCTGGCACTAAGCCTAATGCTCTTGAGGGGATTGGAGTTCTAGTAGAGAGTGAATCCCTCTTGGAACTTGGCCTAACGCTCTTAAAAGACACTGAGACATGGAAGTTGACCTTCAGACCTTCAGGCATAAGGAGATACATGTTTACTTTTTTTTTTTTTTTTACTTTGTAATGAAACTTAAAAGAAATAAGTTTCTGCCAAACATGATTTCCTAAGAATGACAGGACTCACAAGGGTTTCGTTTCACGGTGGTGTGTTTTTTGTCTTTTGATGTGACTTTACATTATATTCATTATGCCTAATGAAAGACTAAGAAAAGACTGCATTTAAGCATTGTTACATAATTATTCAGTGGGACCTCAAATCTTAAAGAAAAATTACATTTTAAACATTTCAGACAACATTTTATTAGTATTTTCATTTGCTTTTTCAAATTTTCAGCAATGCAAACACCTCTAGTACAAAGTGTGATGTCACCACACAGAAAGCATTTTTTAAAAGAGCAGGTATGACATCTTGCTAAATGTAATGATTTATGCTTACAAGAGCATGGAAGAGCAAACTGAGCAGGACAGCAAAGGGAGGTAACATTTTAGTGGTGTAGCATACGGTAGCTGATGACATTTGTCACCACATAACTCCTTTTGTCTGGTGAAAGTTTTATTATATTTACCAGACTGTCAGCATCATTTCTACAGAGCACAGAGATCTTTGCTTTCTGTCATAAACCACCCTGCAGTGATACTGCATGGGGTGCAACAGGGCTCTGACTCACCAGGAGTTTTCTAGCAGTTTAAGGCGTGTGTTCTAGCACTCAAAACTGTATCAGCACAGTGACAGCAGCACAGCTGTGAGCAGCAGCGGCAGATTTGTATTCCAGGAGCCTGTGCCCACGCGGTGAATTTACTGCAGGAGAGAAGGGGTGGCTGAGGACACTTAACTCGCCCATCAGCATTGCGTGCTCCCAGCCATATGAGGATAGCTCTCCATTCACACTGCAGCTGTATCTGTTCCAGGCAGGAATGTCATCTGAGGAAAGACAAATGACCTACTTATTTGTTTTTACTTAAAGAGAAACTGAAAATGCCTGTCAGAACAACGAATTAAACCTCCTTGCCTTTGCTGTGGTCGTGTATTCAACATCAAGGGATCTGGCATTCAGAAATCAAATCTCTCAGCCATCCTTTACAAGATATTTCTAAGATGTTGCCAGCACTCATGAAGTGCTTGCTATTGGCTTACACAGAAAGTAAAGTCCTTTTAAGGTGTTTGCAAAAATACTATGTGTCAAACTGTAAGATTGGGACAGAAAATATTTTGTCTGTCTAGAGGGAAACAGAGATAGGCAATAGGAATTTCCTGCAAATTTTACAGAATAAGTGGGATTTTCCAGTGTGTTTAACAATTGACAGATTTCACTCCTATGTTTTACATTGGGATTAAAAAGGCTTTTCCCATATGAGTTAGTTTCTAGGTCTCTGGGAAAAGGAAAAAGCTTTTGCAATGTACATTAGCACGTGCAGATGGAAACCATTCATCCTGCATGTTGCACTCCTCAGTGATTTTGCAATGAGCAGTCAGTCATATGTGTTCCCCAGAGAAGGTGTTTTTGAAAGGTTTGTATCCTGTTAAGGACTTGAGTCGTGAGATTCTTGAAGATGTCTCAAACACTTCACAGAACGACACTCAGTGAACAACACATGCCACAAGACAACTGGATAAATTCTGAAATGCCATTAGTTAAATGACTGAAATGATGCTGTATGAAACTGAATTCATTACTCTGAATTCAGGTCAGGGAAGGAGAGTGAAGTAAAATTACTTTGATGGCAGTGATGGATGATCACCTTTACTCAATGGATAGAGGGCAAAAAAGCATTTCCATGTTTCAGAGCCCATACCAGAACATTTATAATGTTGACAACACAGCACTGTCTGTCATATCAGAAAGAGCTGGAAGATACAGTTTGCTAAAACAGACTGAGTACCTTCTGAAGGCCCTCAACCGAAGACCAAAGTAATAGAAAATTGCATGCAGCTTTTCTCTCAGCAGTCTTTCTCCGCATTCACATGGAGTCACTAGGTGAACTAGTCTGATAACAAGGATACCGGTACTGCCAACATATAAATGACATTTAACTTACTCTCTGATTTACTTCATATGACCTCGCCATTAACTCTCAGATGGCCCAATTTTTGAATGTGATCAACTAACTAATGTTTGAATGTAATCAACCAAGACCTAGAGAGCTTTGTTAAAACTATGGCAGTGAGGAAAAAAAAGCACTCTGAAGCATTGGTGAGCAGTCGTCCTTTGGCACAAGCGCTACAGCCAACCAAATAATTCTGTAATGCTTTTCAGCTAACACCTCTGCCACAACAATTTCTGTAACTCATCTTCTGTCATCTGTATTTCACGAGAAACTCTACTCTGCCCTTGAGGAGGATATTCTAAACTTGCTCACGCTTTTGTTGTTTCTGATCTGGATCACACACTGAGCAACACATCCATATGGGTCATCAACGCTAGGAAATCATCAGCGCCGGGTCAGCCCTGCTTGTGGAAGCTCACCTAACCTGCCTTGCTCAGTACCCCGGGCTTCCCGCAGTACCTCCAGCCCCGCCGGTGGCCCATTGCTCCTCACGCTCTCAGCAGTGGGAGTCAGCTCTGGAAGAAGAGTCACACCAGGGAGCGAGGCGAAGCTGAGCTCTGGCAGACACACGGGGGTGGCCGGGGCACCCTGGGGCCGCAGGACCGCTGCAAGCATCGCCACTTTTCACTCCCTGCTGCACAGCCAGGCCTTCCGTGCCCCCTCCCCTGGCACAACCCCACACCTGGCCGCTGCCCTGGCCGCCTTCCATCCCCACCAGGAAGCCGCCTGGAAGGGGGCCCTGCCGCCTGCCCTCACATGGGGGCTCCCCGGCCCGGGACGGAGGGAGCGGGCGCACCCGCCTGCGTTACAGAAACAGGACACCAGCTAGGTTGGAAAAGCCTTCTAGGATCATCGAATCCAACCTGTGGCCCAACACTGCCACGTCAACCAGACCATAGCAGTGAGTGCCACGTCTAGTCTTTCCTTAAAGACCACCACCTCTCTGGGCAGCCCATTCCAACATCTAACCACCCTTGCTGTGAAGAAATTCCTCCTAATGCCCAACCTAAACCTCCCCTGGCGCAGCTTGGGACTATGTCCTTTCGTGCTGTCTGTCGTTCGTTGCCTGGGAGAAGAGCCAACCCCCGCCTGGCTACACCCTCCTTTCAGGTTACCTCTCTGCCAGCTCCGTCCCCTCCGGTAGTGCGGGTGGCGTCGCTCCCGCTGGCGGAGCCGGCCCAGGGCGATCCCGGCGGGACTGGGCCGGGCCTGCCCCCGCCCCGCGGCCTCAGGCCCGGCACTGCGCATGCGGGGCGCTGCGGCCGCGGCGCTTTCCGGGAAGATGGCGGCGGCGTGGAGCGTCCGCATGGGGGGCCGCCGCCGCCGCTGCTCTGGTCGGGGGAGGCTGCCTGGCGGCGTGTTACAGCGGGCGGCCGCGCGTGTTCCCGACGGTCCTGGCTCAGGTAAGGCAGCAGCATCCCCGCTCCCGGCGGCGGGCAGGGCAGGGCTGGGCGGGCGCGGGGAGCCGGGGCGGCTGTGAGCGGCCCGCGGACGGGTCGGGGTCCGCGGTGGTCAGACCCGGTGGTGAGGCGGGACTTGGCTGCGGGAGCCCTCCTGACGCCGGTGGTGTGGCAGGTAATGAGCGTCCCCGGCCCCCTTGGCTTCAGCAGCGTGCCACTTACCGCTGAGCAGCCTCCCCTCAGCGGCGGGGACTCCGCCGTTCTCCGCAGCGGGAGAAGGCAGCGTTTGCCTCAGCACGGAGCGTTTCTCCTCTGCCCCTGACAGCCCTGGTCGTGATGAACGGTGGACATGTGTGCTTTGCACAGACACACGGCCTGTAGTGAGCTCCGCGCTTTGCTGGTAACTTTCAGGGGAAACTTCCACGATCTGCATGTCCGGTGCTGTTAGTCATGCACGTTTTTGTCTCTTAAAAAAAAAAATTATATATATATATATATATATATATATATATATATTTCACGGAAGTAGTACTTTCATAATTCATACTTTGTCTGAAATGCATTATACAGACTTATTTCCTCTTACTATGTCCAAAATGTGTGCCCTGGATACTGAAATGTGGTTTGCCTTGGAGCATCAGGACACTCTCAGAAGGGTGCTCAGGGACAGATCATTACTGTTTATGAAATAATCTTTGTACACAATTTCCCGACTTTATCATTTTCATGGAGGCAGTGAGCTTTTTCCTGTTCTTCCTTCAGATAAGAAGTTACTGTCAATTACAGGTGTGTTATTTCAAAGCTGGAAGAGCTAAATGCTTTGTAGGCCAGAGGGTTTAGGTGTGGTGGGGGAAGAGGTCAGTCTATGCTTGCAGTGCCATTCATCTACTTATATCTAAGAATTTTTGGAAGTATTCAACACTTTGTATGCTTTGATGTCTTATCTCTGAGCTGTGATTAAAAAGGCTGAACTACAAGCAGATAAATAGCAGCCTTTTTTCTTGAGAACAACCTTTATTCCCGAGTCAAGAACAAATAATTACTTTTTTAATACTTTTTTAATATTGTATTCTTCATTGTGGAAAATACCTAAGTTACATATTCGTAGAAAACTCAATTTTTATTAGTAGGCATTTTCCTAAATAGATTGTCTAGTAGTCCTTATCCTTGGACGTGTTAAAACTTCGGACAGCACATGTTCAAACTTTAATTTTCTGTATCCATCTCCTAGCAAGGAAAGCATCCATTACTCAGCAGATATCCTACTGAAAATGTATCTCCTTGTTGTTCTTTTAATTATGTGAGGTTTTTAAGCAGCATTGCATTTTAAAAGTCCTGTCATTGAGACCAATTTCATATATGCATGGAACTCTTGCTTAAGTAGATGCGTGTGTAGGCATATATATAAAATGTTAGATGTGGGAAGTAATCACTTTTAAAGGGTGTTGAGTGAAGAGGTCTGAGTCTGGTGCTGATGTCTTCTTGTAGCTTCCTTGTAATGCATGGACAGTCCTATGTGTACACTTTTAATAACTCTCAAGAGGAAGTTCAAAAGTCTAGGACTTACTTTACTGCTTTGGTTTTGGAGATTGTAAATTGCTGGACTCTTCAAATGTTTATTCAATTCAAACTTTTCAGTTTCCCCATAAAATGATTTTTGGGGAAGCTAATTCTCCATATGTATTGTACTCCATATTACTACAGGTAGTGTACTGAGCTTTTTAAATCTACCCAAGAAATTACCATGCAGCGCATAGTGCTGCAGGAGGATTGTGAAAGCTATGAGCAGCAGTGATAGAGCCAGAGGCATGCTGCAGGTCTTTTAAGCAGTTTAGATGCTACTTGTGACTTCTGATTGATAGAAAATAGCCCAAAGTGAAACAGTGTTGGAACAGGTAGTCACCTTTATTATATATTTTGAACCCATCTTTTTCTCAGTTCAGAGATTGTGGAATCATGAGATATGAAAATGCTTTACACATTCTCATAGTGGATAATCTTATTTTCTGTTATTCCTTTTCATTGTAACTAATCTTAACCAGCCTTGCTTGAGCTTGTGCTGACAAACAATATTGAGCTGTTTGTTCCTGATGTAGTATGCTATGTAGTGGGAATGTTGGCAGCATGGTGTGTGAAATATTACAGGTTAAGACAAGTATTTGAAATTAAACAGTGTAATTTTCATTATCTTTGTTATAAAGGAATATGTAGTGGAAATGTTTATATTTCTGTATCAGCAACAAGGTTTACTGGTTGCTCTTGAGAATGAGTGAGATTATAGTACAGGGCTTCCCAATTTCCCTCGATAATATAGTCTTGACTATTCAATTGCTGCAAAATAGGTTGTAATTATTTAAAATATTTGACAAAGTGAAGCTGAGAAAGTGACAATGTATCTCCATGCTGTAAAGAACAAATATAATAAGATTTTGTGCTTTTCAGCAGCATTACATTATGTTATTATGTTATTACATTATGTAATTTTCATTCCTGTCCTAAGTTACCATTAGTAACTTCTTTGCACAAAGACTTCATTGGAAATACTTCCTGTCTGTTTAGGTGAAGTAGTTGAAGTTGATAACTCTATTTAGATTTTTAGTTTTTCTCACTAAAACTAATCTCTGTCAAAGTAATCAGACATTTTTCAGTTTTCCCTTGTTCCAGGCAATTTCAGACAAACAATTTCTAGTGAAGCTGGCAAACAGCATGCCAAAGGTAAAGTTCTGTAAATTTAGTACTTTTTTTTTTTTTATTTCTTTCTTCTAAAGCTTTTGAATATTCTAAAATCAAAGACTGATACCTTTGACACCTAGTTTCTTAAATCTATTTTTAATTCCTGTCCTTTCTTCCTGCTGGAATGGGTTTAATCCTGCTCATATTGGTTAGGGGCACTTCTGACTTCTGCTCAGATTAAATGAAATCCATCCTAACACAGCATAATCCTATATGAGTCTTTGCAGAATCAAAGGTCTTTCAGGGTCAGATAATCTGTTTTCTTTTTGTGAGTTGTATGGATAGTTTCTGTTTTATTTTGTAGTGGCGTGTCTTTGGTTACTTATTTTAATAGAATTGTTTATTCTGACAATGATTATCAGTTCAGGGTTATTTTTTTTTTAATTTTGGCCCAGGTTTTTTGTCAACATTTTCACTAACACTTACCTGTTCTTACAATGTACATTAAGTGGTTAACATCCCAGTAATAAAACGTTCTATTTTTAATGTAATAATACCTCAGATGTAATCTTTCATGATTTATGAAGTTTTCATTCTCTATCTTAATTTGCTGACCTACTGTTTAGAAACATATAACTAATAATATGTTGGAGTAAGTCCTTAGTGTTGATTGTAAAACTCTACAAAGATTATTGTAGCAAAATGAACACAATATTATGGAAACTTTTTCTTTATAGGTACCAGGTTTTGGTTCCATCTACACTTATTATTTACCTGTGAAGCTATACTGACAATACCCAAACCAGAGGGTTTGTTGGAAAAAAACAGCGTTTGTTGGAAAAAAACAAGATCAATTTTCATTTTTTAATAAAATGAGCTAATCAGCTTGTATCAAGAGGAGAAAAAAAGAAGGGCGGGGGGGGGGGGGGGGGAAGGGGAAAAAAGGAAAAATCCCCCCGAGCCTTTTGATCTACCAGTGTAACTCAGAATGGGGATTTATGTTGCATTCACTAAAAGTGTTCCTTCTGTTATCCTAACCAACACAGCCAGATCAAAAATGTTCACACTGCTGTGCACACTGCATTGATATTATATGGGCTGCTTTTCTTTTTCAGTAGTGCAGTTCAAATGGCACAATGGTATATGGTTTGTAACCATGATCAGACTTGAAATATTGTCTCTTGTGCTTTTTTGCTCTCAGAGCATGCAGTTTGCAGTAATAACATTACCCACTCCAACTACATTTGGAACCTTGCAGTGGACTGCAGGTTAGATCTTGGACACACACAAACTGCAAATGATAAGAAAATTCTGAGAAGCAGCAGGCTACCAGAGGCAGTATATCCTGCCCCTGCTGAGTTTTTTATGGCCGTGTTTAGGTCACTAGCTTCAGAAAGAATATAATTTGATTTGCCCTTGAAAAGTTGTGATCCCTGCAGCATGTCACAATTTGCACTAAGTCACCATTTTCCAAATGAGACTAACTAGAGTTGTTACTAGCACATATATGAAGCTTTATGTCTGCAAAGTCTTGTCTGCTGATAAACATTGCCATGTTTCAGCACTCTGGTTTTTGGGGTTGTGGTAGCATTAACTGGTACTTAAATATTTCATGCTGCTTACCTGAGGTAAAGAGGAAATCATAACCTACTAACAGAAATTTTTGGGGTCTGTTCTTGTTAATACTTTCTGTTACATGGTCATAGTCTAATTGGTTCTCTTTATCTTACCTTTTCTACTGCTGCTGCCTTACATCAGCAAACTTCTTCAGTTATTCCAGATCAGGGGAGACTCAGTTTGTGTCTTAGAGGTCTTAAATACATATGTTGTATTTGAGCGTACTGAAAATATTAAGATAGTGCTTATAACAATTAACAAAAAATTTGTGATAATTTGTAAATATTTTAAGTGTCTGAAAATCTAATTATATTTAAAATGCATTTATTGAAACAATTCTATTTTGGACTGCAATAATTTTTTCAGTTTAAACTGCATTGAATGTTTCATAATTTTTCGAGTGTCAGTGGTTCTTAAGAGAAGCAAAAATGGGAGTGGTGACTTTGTTTGTCACACTACCTACACACTACATGGGAGTGGTGATTCGCGTCACACACATGGGAGTGACAACTTTTTGTCACAATATGAAAACAGTTATTCTTAGCAAC